AAAAATCCGGCCATTTCATTTCAATGCTTTCATAAATAAGAAAGTTGCCACTGCACATGCGCAAAACCAAATTTTGTAAGTGGCGTTAGTGCCTATGTATCAAATTTCATTTAAATGCTTTCATAACTAAAAAAGTTGGCACTGCGCATGCGCAAAACCAAATTTTGAAACTGGCGTTTGATTTTCCTTTATTCCAAGTTCCTATGTATCAAATTTCATTTAAATACTTTTACAAATAAAAAAGTTTGCAATTCGGTTTATAAATGATCGAGATGTGAAAAGGGCACCTGTGAATTTTGAATCCATTCGACTCAACTTTGGGCATTGCGTATTACATGGCTAAAGCTGTGCCCATATTGAATTTCATGCAATTCAGTTCATAACTAACGGATATGTCAAAGCGATCGTACATTTCTAAACAAAGCTATCGTTCACACGGACAGATAGAGGGACAGATAGACAAAGGAACAGACGGACAGACCAACAGACAGACGACAGACAGCAATACAAAATTATAAACGATCTCTAAGATCGTTAATAAACGGCAAAAGTGTAAAATTATGTTACATGTAAAAAACAGTTTTTTGGTTTTTTTACAATAACTTTTTTAGCAATAAACGCAGAAAAAATTCCTCCCTTGGTGCAAGCGTCGACACCATAACGAACCAAATAGTGAAAAAAGTAGAATAGCTCTTAGGATAAAGAACTGGTAGCGTCTCAACGAACGATCGGACAGACAGACGGACAAAGTGGCCACAGTAGCGCATTTTTTTTTATTTTTGTGGAAATGCGCTAAAAAGAACACCAATATACTACAATAATATATTAAAACCTCCTCCGGGTTTCAACAACAAGGCTGTCACCATCAGCTACCAACTGAACAATACAATTATTCAAAAACAACCCCTAAGTACGCTCTTTCAAAATAACCCGAGGCAAACTCGTTTACTTGTAATTCTTGCTGTTTAAGCTGAAACTACCTCTTCTAGTCAATTAATTCTTGTCCGATAACAACTTCTTATCAACACGTGACCAGATAACACTTTTCCCGTTTTAAATTTATCATGTAAACTAAATTGAAGTAAATTAATTTAACAATTACCGACTAAATTTACAATTAGAAAGTAATATTAAAATGGCCAAAAAAATTTTCCAATTCAACAGAAAGCTCTGGTGATCTTGCAGGCCACATGAAAAGACTGTCGTATGGGTGCAATTGATGTTCTTGCAGTATGGGCAGTTGCAGTTAGATGATAAGCGCGGATACTGCAGGTAAGAGAGAAGGGAAAACTAAGAGAGCAAGCTGTCTCTTACGGTTACGCATCTGATTGGTTCTTTCAATTTAATTTGAACGCGATCGCGATCGCTTCTGTTGAAAGAAGCAATCAGATGCGTAACCGTAAGAGACAGCTTGCCCTCTCTCTCTTTCCCTTACGATCGTAAGGGAAAGAGAGAGAGTTTTCCCTTCACTCTCACCTTCAGTATACGTATTTAGCATTGGCACGCGCAGTCAATTTATTATAATGTCGATGTTATAATCCCCCACTCCCATGCGCTACTTTGCTTGTATGTTCCTAAAGACATCAAAAGTGGTTGGAAATTTTTAAAATATTTTCTTTGATACCTTTTTGATTTCATGTTAAATTGATAAACGCGGAATGACCTTTTTAAGCCTGGGCCTGAGATTTTTCGAATTCGAATTTTTACTCACAATATTATTAAGGAAACGGTTTGAGTTTTTACAAACTGATTCATGTGCGTGGTTACGGAGTCCGTTAACTTGGCCCCCCCACTGAGAGATTTGATAGTCGTATTATTTTGAAATGAATGCGCTCGTTATGCGCTCATATGCGCCACCGATAATAACTCTTGCGCCATTATCGTTTTTTAGAAATCCGAAAAAACATTGGGGGGGGGGCAAGTGAACGTAGCCCCCCCCCAGTACGTATTTTGTCCCTTGTAACTAGGTGACCTGATACATTTGGTTATGCGCTCAATTGCGCCACTTGAATTAAAGCTAGCGCCAATACGGTTAAGCCGTGACAAATTTTCAAAAAGTGGGGGGGCCAACTTAACGTTTTTAAAAGTTAACGAGCGCATTCATTTCAAGTTAACGGACCCGTGGTTACGGTTATTGGCCTGCACAAGGTACCAAAGCACACCATCGTGGCCATTTTTTTAAAGTTTGAGTTTTGATTAAAGTGTGGGATCGTTTCTCAAATATTTTCAAAGCTCTCTGATCAGGTCTTGGTTGGGAATTTCAGAAAATTAAAAAAAATTCATTAATTATGGAAGATTTTTGCCTTTGAAACTAAGAAAAACAAAGCAAGTGCAGGATGTCCCCTCAAAGACACTAAAGCTTTTTACAATCATGTTTCGCACTTATGCTTAAAATAGATTATGTTTTAATACTCTATTCGTTTTCTTAACCAGGTATCCGCACGAAAAATATTTTTCGGTGGAGATTTTAAGTTCTGGATGGGGTTTAGGGTCGCTCTATACAAGTTACGTACCCATTCCTAAAATTATATTAAAATTAACTGCCGATATTCAATACTAAAAGTTATTATTTCATATCTGGCAATGTATGTTGCATTCATTTTTAGCAGAGACTTACTAGTAACTTAAGGACTAGATAAAGTTGCAATTCACCGGCTTGGCAAAACCTTAATTATCAGAAGGCGTGTGCAGATGCGAGTTACTCGCCTCAATGCACCACGCCACCACAACTCGCTTATATATAATAGATGAGCAACGTCTAATACTAATTTGACGGCTCGCGTTTAACAATGAACTACAATTACAGATTACCGATACGTCTCTCTCTTCCAGGGCCAATCAAGTCATTGTTCATACCTTCTATAAAACATCACTGATGATCTTTTAAGAAAAAGTTCAATTTTGATGCAACGTGGGCTGCCTATCGTTAGCTTCTGATAAAAAAACCCTTTCTAAGGTTTCTCCATAACTGTAAATTCTGTAAATGAGATTAAGTTGGTCGATAACTCTAAAATGATAATAACCCAGGAATTTGCTATAATGTGACAAGATGTTTAATATTAAATTAAATAGAAGGGATGCCGGCCGAAAATTGTAAGATTAGGAAATTAGAACAGTACATACACTGCAGGGAACGTAAAAATAAACCTAGGGCATACTTCTTGTTATCGTTACATTGTTATGTACAAAAAAGTATTCTCAAATATTCGATTATTCAGAGGAAAAAATGTACACTCAATCACAGGAGACACACTGGAAAATACAATTTGGTTTATGTAAATATATGTAGACTTGGCGAATAGAATTAATTATTCCTTAGAAATTGCATAGTCCTCTTCTGACCCTTTCAAACTCGAGTGTGAGAGTGGCAGAGTTACAGCAAATAATAGCAGGAAAGATCCCTTATGGGAATTAGTAAATCAGACGTTGAATCGAATAAAAAGGTTCGAGTGTAAACCTCCGCTCGGGTTTGGCACGACTGATGAACGAACGCCACAAATTGAACTCCCTTGGGTGACATAAATTCGAAACACCATGTGAAACAAAATCAAGCCAGAAAAACAATTTCTAATTATTAAAAAAAAAACTCTTATTGACCATTGACTCGTTATAAACATTCGATTGTACTAATGAGATTTTAAATGTAAATCTAAACCTCGGAAAATTTAGCTTGAAAACTTTCGACCTTCTTCCATAGACCCCCAAAAAATTGATATAATTTTCGTTGAAATCCAACATTTTTGCTACGATATTGTACGTGGTCACGGTCTATTGTACTACACTTTTAAATGAACAATGGAGAAATACGAAAAACAAAATTTTTACACATAAATTAATTTTAAGTTCGTTAATGTTTAACTCAGTTAGAAGACTTCCGTTTCTAAGTACTAAACTTGAAATGAAAAACCTTTCAACCTTTTTCAAACCGAGTTCATACTATCCAATTCACTAATTGACTTTCGATATTTTGAAATAAAACACAGACACGGAAAATACTGGGATACTTAAGTATGCATCTCTCACTGTAACCTAAAATTCCTACCTAGCACGGACATGAGTAATCATACTAAGAGGAAATGACCATCTCTTTCTTAAATTTTAGCGGTTCAATAATTTGTACTGCAAAGGCAGCTTTATTTTGGCCGATGTTGACCCTAAATATCAAGGAAACCTTCTGATCACTTTAATCTCACCCAATAAAAAGTCTGATAAGACTGGCTGCAAACTCAGTAATGGTTCAAAATTTGCTTTCTTAAATAGATAATAAAGTTGTCGATTGAAATTTACAACAATCATTTGAATAACGAACATTATCGGGTTTATTTTTCCTTTGATATGAAGACCTGGATGGCTTACAGGTTATGTGGATGGTTCGATACAGTGGGACAGGTTGATAAGTGATTGTTGGGGATGTATTCTTAACCCGACGGAATCAATTGGTTTGTAGTTTCGGTTGTTGTTCCTATTTGTCAGTACACAATTTTGGGGTTTGAAAATGAGAGACGAGTTTATAAATTCCTTTATTTATCTTATCGGTTTAGTGTGTGTGAAATTCCTTTCTCAAACTTTTTACCTTGATTAATTATGATATTAGTGGCACAAAATAAACGTAACTCTGCTGGCTATTTTCCCTATTGCAGCGTTAGATATGAAACCTTATATTCCCTGTTTTTATCACGTAAAACAATGCCATTTACCGGCAATGGGGCGATAGGTACAATTTAAAACTAAGACGTCTCTCGCAGACTTGACAAAAATGACAAATTAAGCTCGACGGATTCCAATCAAGTCAACCATAAATCTGATATTTCTGCCATACAGCGCCAACTCTATTTGTTGTTGATTCCCCAGACGTGATGGTGTGTGCAGGGAGGGTGATATATTGGACTTTAATGAAACTGCAATTTGAGAGTGGAACCACACCAGTGGAGGCTTCTATGCGACCCACTGAATGCTAATAAACTAATAAAATTTTGGCCATAAGCAGTCTTGGCGAGAAAAATGAAGTAAGTACATATAATATTCAGTGTTTTTTTGATACTCAAGTTAAACTGAAGCATGAATAACATCAATAATACAATTATGCAAATTGATAATACGGTCCTTTCCGTTAGTGTGATGCTTGCATTCCTCAACTGCCTTGTCAGCTACCGCTTCGGTGCCAGTCTTTCCAGTCAGTGGAATCACGTTCTTCATTATGTGGATCTTCATCAAAGCTTCGTTATACTTTCCATCCGCGTCTACCAGTCCGCTGTCTGTACCGACGCACCTGACCACATTATTCAGATTTTCGTTTCCGGTGGGTAGATGAAACGCTTTGTCAAAATGTGTGTCAATGATGTCTTTGTCGACTTTCAGTCTATCAACGCAGATTGCTAGATGTTCGTCGAAACCTCTGTCGGACGTTGCCATGGCACAGTAAACCTTAAGAGCCAATAGAGTCAAATGCCATGTACGAGTACGGATTCTTACCTGCAGACAGCAGACAAATCCAAGTGCACTTAGTATCACGTAACGCATTTTCGCCGGGAGTTAAACTAATTGCATACCGGATAGGAAATCGTGTACTTATAGCTTGGCATTTTTCAAGCGGTAGGGCAAGGCACATGACCTGCTATACTGATAAGCTTATAAAACAATTCTGCTAACTAAGACTTATTAGACAGACAATACTGTCTTGTAATAATTATGCTAATAGAAGACAGCTTTGTGCAACACTCGGCGGAAAATTCTGGGTTCCATTATCGAATTGACCTTAAAAATGAAAACTTTCTTGCAATGATTACAAATTGACTACAATGTTGATCATAGCCTTCACAGCTCTCTTTTGAAAACAAACTTGTGCTACTCGTAAGAAAAAATGCAAAAAAAATGGGTCCATTTAGGGAGAGCATGAGACTTTTGATGGTAGAAATATGTTTTTCACCGGCCTCCTCCCCAACTCCACACCACAAGTTAGAGGAAGCGGAGACATGTTCTTGTTTTTGAATTCTTTCCATTCTTTTTTTTTGTTTTCGTACGTTATCGGTGTAGAGCCGAAAAAGTTAAACCAAACAACGGTGGGTCGAGGAACTACAGAAGGTTAGATAGTGAAACGGTTTCGTGGCTGGTGGCCAAAGCTTGTACCTACGCTATTGGGTGGTTGGTGAGGGATTTATAAGGAAGGGCTAGGGGGCGAAACATCTTCAGGCTGCAGCTGTGTTTTTGAAGTGATTATAAATTAACCGTTAATTAAATAGAGAACCCTTTCTTCTTGTCTCATCTACTAAATTTGTGGTACAGGTAGTGGTTATTTTTTGGCTTTTATAGAATTTAGGTCCAAGGTCCAGTATACAGGAGGTATGGAAGAAGCGTGACCAAGACGTAAGGTGATGAATCGACAAAGTGAATGTAATTTTGCTTCGACTACCAGAGTCCTTTTAAGCCCTCCATGCTCTTTCTGATGTTATCAAGGTAGTAAATAAAAGCCTCTCACCTCCCCCCATAAAAATGCCTTACCCAAATCATCAATGGTTTACTTCAAAATCCATTGACATCCGCCCGGTTACATTTGTCTAAGACACAATTTCTCAAAACTGGCACCATTGAATCATTAGGTATGTAAATTTCTACAAGATGGCTCTCAATATACTAATAGAGTGATAGAGTGCCATGAAAAAGATCTTGTGGCATGGTTTGCACATTACCAGTAAATAAATGATTTTGGAATGTAATAAATTGAATCAGTTAACTCACCAAGTGTATATTAAGGAGAACTCAAAAATTTAAAGGGTTGAATTTGAATTATTGGTTCTATTACATAGTCACCCGTAAAAGATGGGCGATTTTTACAAACTTAGTTCAAAAGTTGACAACCCTCAACTTCTAACGCCTGTAGCTCGAAAAGGACTGCACCGATTGAAAAATATCATAGAATCAAACTTGTAGATACTATAATTATGAATCAGATGCTTTTTGAAATTTGCAATTCAATCACTCCAGTGCTGAGATATGAATTTTAAACCAAAAGAGTCCTTAGTGCCAAATTTCCGCTAAGGCAGTCCAACGCAGGAAACTTCGTCTGTGTAGGTTCCTAGCAAAAGCCGTACAATGTTGATTAGATGGGTCGGTTCATACTGCAAATTTGGCATTGATTTTAGTCGACTTGTATTTGTTACAAGTATCAGTTTGTGTAGAGAATTGATGGCAAGGACGATCTTACTGATCGAATTGAATCACATGTTAGGTAGTGGTGGGGAAGTAGAGTAACTAAGATTTCGACTCAGGTTGAGGCTTTGAAATAGATTAGGTCACGGAACTTGCATTTGAAGGTAATAAAAGCCGTTTTTAAATGAGTTCGAAAAGAAAAACCTCGCGCATCGGCAATATAATAATATAGTGGAGAAATGGATTCACATCGGGGAAAAAGAGCGCAAAAATTCGATTGCGATTAGGGAATAAAAATTAGGTAAAAGTTTAAATAACGCGATCAATCATTTTACACGCGCATCGAGGAAAACAGCCCAGTAGAGACAAACAGTTTCGGAAAGCGAATAAAGTTATAGTGGCTGTGATAATTACTTACTAATAAAAAGCATTGTGAAACCGAAAGTAAGATCGGGTATCGCACTTTGTGTTGTAAACTTTACGGTCCCATCGAAAATATTACCAGAGAGGGGGAGTGACCGTTCTTTTTTTAACATACGTTCAATCCTTTTAAGGAGAAAAATCTACAATATAATGGTACAAAGAACCATCAGGTTTTTTTTGCAAAATAGCGTTAACCGGGACAAAATTGAGCGAATTCCTGTGGGTGTTAGATATGTAGTTATAAATAGCGATATTATGCAACGCGGTAATCGAAAAGACTCCGACTTATAAATATAAAACCCAATTTCCTCAGTAAAAACAAAAGGAGTGTTGCATTTAAGCAAGTACCTGCCAGAAATATTATGATATGCAACGTTGCGACATCTATTTTTAGTACCATTCCATAAACACTAAAATCTAGGGTGTTTCGGTAGCTCAAAGTTGGACTGCTCGAAGGGTACATTTAGACGCCATGTAAATAAGGTAAACCGAATTTGTCTATTTGTATTATAGACGGATAGTCAAGTCAAATTACGGTTTGGGCTGGATTTTGTCACTTCACTGAACGAAACCAATGGTATCTTATGTAAAAAAATCCGCTGAATCCGAAAATCATAGTCTCCGACCGGAAACGCTCGGAACATATTGTTATAAACAAAAAACGAGGAAAAAATGGAAAAATGTCGTGGTTTTTTCACATTTTACTTCGAATATCTCGTTAACTATTGCTCTGAGGGAAAAAATGAATAGAAATTAACTTGTTTAGAATAAAATTTTCGATGAGATACAGTTGGTCTGGAATGGTCATTTTCAACTGTTGAAAATGAGCGTTCCGGACCAACTGTATCTTATAGAAAACTTTATTCTAAACAAGCTCATTTCTATTCATTCTTTCCCTCAGAGCAATAGTTAACGAGATATTCGAAGTCAAATGTGAAAAAATACATTTTTCCATTTTTCTTCGTTTTTTGTTTATAACAATATGTTCCGGGCGTTTTCGGGCAGGGGGACTATGATTTTCCGATTCAGCTGATTTTTTTACATAGAATACGCTTGGTTTCGTTCAGTGAAATGACAACATCCAGTGCATACTACTTTTAGAGCTAATTTGACTGGACTAGGACCTGTGCCCTTCTAGAAAGTTGGCGAGTAGAATTTTGGAAGTTCGGACTTTAAATAGAAACATTTTGAAAGGCACTCTTCATTCCCGCTGTACGGTCTAAGGTGTTTTCAATTAATTAATATGAGCGTATGAATCCTACTAGAAGAGTCCGTGTGGCGCAGTTCAGTTAAAGCTGAACTGTGGTGCTAAGGGTCCCTGGTTCGAATCCGGGTTCGGGAATAGATATTTGTAAATGTATAGTGGGTTGGGTTAGTAGAACAGCCCGCTCACTCAAAAAATGAAGGCAAAATAAAAACATTAAATTTACTTAAGACCAAACGAAGTATATCGACCTTTTTATCGCCTAAGACCTAACCTAAGTTACTGTACCGACAATAAGGGTGCACCTAAGAGACAACCAAAACACCATAGTATCAAACACGCATGCGCTTCCAACAATCCGTTTTCGAGATATTCATATTTGAAATTATTTGATCCCCTCCCTCTTCTCTCCCTACAAGTATGCGATTAGTTTGATTTTATTAAGAAGAGCTCGCATTAACATTCAGAAGGATCGCACCACCAATAAGGAAGTTAGTTCAGCACATGCGCGCCACTTTTGACATATTTGTCATAACGAAACGACTTGCTTTTAATAGCAATCACTGCTGAACATTCAATTAAATTGAACCACAAATTAGAAAGTTGAATCCGGAAATTTTTCATAATTTTTTCAGTTTTCCCCAAAAAGTGATAGTTTTTTTAGGGTGGAATGAGCTCAAAATGAATAGGGTTCATTTATGAGACACAGTAAACAATATTAAATATTTTAGTTTTCACAACTTCACAACTCGAACTAGTCTCGTTCCAATTACTCATCCCATCAACTACAACCTTGCAATGCTTGCCATAGCGGAACTTTTGTTTTGTAACGGGGCTAATCTTCCTTACGAAAGGAACAATTGTACTTTCAATTCACTCCTCAAGAAAAAAACAGCCGCATAGGCATCTTGAAATGCGTCAGGAAAAAATATGAAGTTGAAAACTAGATCTGTTCTCTATTTGAAAATGACGTGGTATGAAGACTTGCTTCAAGACAGGTAGGAACGATGAGCTCAGACGAAATTCCTTTCTGTATTTTCATTAACTACCCTCGCATCCTAGATTGCCACACCAGGTTCCTTGATTACGCATTGCAAAGTGAAGTTTCCGCTATTCCATTCACAAGTCGAGAACGGAAAAGAATCACAATTTTCATTTGCATTGGAAACTACTTCTGAGGCTGACGCATATCCTCTCAACTCCATTTTAGCAGCTCACATAATGGGATTTGGCTCTCATACTCTTTAAACTCAAATGATAATTGATTGTGTCACCAAGCAGATATGGAGTACAATTGAGACCGAAGACAACTTCTTTTTTGTGCTGGTAAATTTTCACTTGGAGGGAATTAACTCATTTAAATTGGGTTCCTTCCCAAGAAATTCAATCGAACTTGGTTTTTATCGCACATGACATGTTATACCTATGCGTCGAAAGTTGGCCGCATATGGAGTAGTAGCAGTGTCTTTAAACGCGGGAGGATGAGGTAGGAAATGTCCAGTATTTTCTTCAGACATCTCCGTTGTGACTCCTACCTTTCCCCAAAAATTGAGCAATGCATCGTACTCACTCCACTAATTATTTTGTTGTTGCAGTTTCATTGTAGCGGATTCCATCCTCTTCTGACGTACTGAGCGATTAAACCTCTTTTCCGTTCCAACGGTGTGATACCTTCCATTATCTTCCCTCTGAACCGTCCTTAAAAAGCATTTACCATGGGTCCTTTATGCCGATGGTATCCAGATTCCATGTCAGAAAATTTTGACGAGGTTGAGAGCAATGAAGCTTCGACAATTGTCCTCCCAGGTTCTATAAACAAAATCTTTGTTGCTATCAATCCACATTCTAGCTAGACTGCCTTCCCAGACACATGATAACATTACCGAGCAAAACTTGGAGTTCATTGAACCATCGAGATCCTTCAGGAATAGACTTGATTCCCGCACAGAACTTTTTATTTGACAACGGTTTGAAAACAAAGCGCTTGGTTTCTCCATGTAAAGGTTTTTGACCTACTGTGAACTTATCGTACTTTTTGAGTGGCGACAAATGTGCGAGAAATTCTAGTCAAAAGTTTACGGAATTTCCTTATTGTGCTGCTCCAGATGACTGCGGTTACATAACTCACATTTGTCTTTCTTCTTGCATTTCCTGCAAGGATGACCGATTTTCAAGCACCTGAAGCAAAATGAAGTTCTAGTTTAGTATGTAATTCCAACAATGGCAATTTCTTTGTTGTCTACGTTGATGATAGCAAGCTGGAGAAGTTTCCGAACGTAATCTTGAAGCAATTACCGGAAGAATTGCTCCATCCGTTGTAAGGACTAGGATTAAAGACTGGGTGACCAGGCAATTCCAGGTTTAATGGCAACAAGCAACCGTTCCCATATAGTCCAGGGTTTTTTAATAGGGCCTATTGGCAAATGTGGGTCTTCGAAGCTTCTAAACCTGAATAGAAGCAAGATTAGAAAGATCGCCGGTGTGTTCCTGGATGGTCAACTATCACCTGTATAATATTAGGCTTGTGGAGGAATCCACCTGAAGGTTCTGTGGGGAGGCAGATTTAAGTTACCCTTTCGCTCGAAATCCAGAATCCAGAATCGAAGATTGAAGATTCTGGGTTCAAAGGAAAAGGTTCGCACTTAAAAGTTCGAAATCCGCATTTAAAACTTTTGGAATTAAGCTTCTTATCTTCTTAAAGGTGCCGACACAGTATGATAAACACAATTTGCAAACATTGTTGATATTATTACACTTCAAGCTGACCTGTTGTGTCGAAATAACGAGGTCCAGTACAAACAACATCATTTCAAATTTGGAATGTTACCTAGTTCACGATACTTCAGAATATTCGATAACCTTTCCATAAAAATAGCCTTAGCATAATTTTACTGTTGATAAGCGATAAGCTATACCTATAAATTCCAGCAACGGAATTGAGAGGTATCAGTAACTACCCTAAAGTGATCAAAATGAAGGCTTCCATTGGGCTCTTTGTGTTTCTTTGTGTTCAGGTACAAATCGACTCTTAACCGTTGATAGTTATTGACGTGTGTTTCAGGTGTTTTCCACCGAGGTACCAGAGTTTGTGAAAGATCAGGATCTTATCGATTGCTTCCATAAGCTCAAATTCGATAAGTCGGTGTGGAAAATGTTCGATGAACATTATATCATAAAAAATCCCGACGAGGACGGTATCAAGCTGCTTGACTGCGCATTGCACGTCCACGGAAGAAACTTTTTCGATGAAGATGAAAAGTTGATTAAGACGCACGCTTTGAAGAGAATCAAGGAGAAGATTGAAGAAAAGGGCAAGGAATCTAAGGACGATGTGTTTGAAGCGATTCATGAAGCCTGCAAGCATACTCACGGTGATACGGTTGTCTTAAAAAGTGTAAATTTCCACAATTGCATAACGGAAGAAATTATGAAACTGTAGAACAGTTTTGTAGACTTTATTAAAAACATTCGCTATTTTCCATAAATTTGACTTTATTCTTAACCCTGTAGTACTCGTGCCGGGAAGCACTCCAGGCTGAGAAGAAGCCTAGCGGTTCTTTTGCACCCAAAGGTGCACCACGAACTTATGGGCAAGTCGCTGCGGTAGGGCTCAGGGTGGCCATCGTATCACACCCGGAAGTGGACATCTCTGAGCCTCAGTTGAGGTGGATGGAGGTGGAGGTTCTCATCTGGCAGTTCCGGTGGAATCCGCAGTGTGCCATCGTGGCCGAATGCGAGGACCAGTGGACCTTGGACTGGTTGGAGAGAACCGTCCCTCTTATTAGGCTCTGGGATGGCGCGTCGCTGAAAGTTCAGAGACACGTCCCGAGGATAACCAAGGTGATGGCTGTTTTACGAGCTCCCGTATGACACGGCCACAATCTTGAAGCGCCTCCAGAGGTAAAATTCTGGTTTCAGGACAAGTCTATGGAGGACGTTCTTCCGCAGGGAGGAGCCTGATAGGGTTCTCCTCGCATTTGGTGTCGATGAGACGTCCTATGAGGCACTCCAGCGGTAGAACTTTCAGGCGCACGCGGCGGTCTCGCACGTCACTTTTGTGGCGAAAGCGAGTGCTCCGGCTGCGCCAGGTAAGGGAGAGAGCTCCACCGAACCAGCGGGACCTAGTACCGTTGCGACGGAGGGGGCTCCACTCCGCATTATCTATTTCGAAGAGCGGCGGGATTGCTTCCGGTGCCTTCAGAGGTCGAGAAAGATGTCAGCGAGCTTTTGGCTAGTACTAGTAGTAGGGTAGGTGGAAGAGGCGGCCCTCCTATGAGGACAGCTGTAAACTGCGTACCTTTCGAGGAAAGAAGAGAACGTCTTGGTGGAACTCAGACCTTGAAAATGCTCGTAAGCAGGTTCGCAGGCTCTTTAATAAGGCCATGCGAACTAAGTGGTCGGCGGACTGGGAAAATCTTAAGATCTCCCAGCCCAGGTATAAGGACCATATTCGAAGGTCTAAACGAGGATCATGGAGCACCCTCTGTGGTAACATGGCGGGTCTTCCTGAAGTTCCAGAACTTTGCCAGATCTTTATGAAGGACCCGGGGCAAAACGTGGGGACACTGAGGCTTCCATGCGGCAGATATACGTCTACCGCGGGTGAGGATCTCACATGTCTCCTGGAAACACAGTTTCCAGGCTCTGGGAAGTACTTAACTTCGGACCCAACAAATGAAGCTACCCGGGTCGATGTATTGCCGATTGACTGGAAAGTAGCTACCCGGATGGTTACCGAGGGATCTCTGAGATGGAAACACGTTCAGCCCATTTAAGGGCGCATGTCCGGATGGTATATTCCCGGATCTTTTGCAGAAGGGCCTGGAGCCGCTGCTTTCACACCTGTTGCACCTCGTTAGAGCCTCACCGGCTTTAGGGCATATCCCCGAAAGCTGAAGGAAGGTAAGAGTTGTGTACCTACCTAAACCGGGTCGTGCTAAATATGACATGGCGAAGGCTACAGACCCGTCCTCCTATCATCGTTTCTTCTAAAAACGCCGGAGAAGCTGGTGAATGCATACATAAGAAATGGCGTACTGGTTAGTAGACTACTACATTCGTTCCAACACGCTTACAAAGCTGGTATGTCCACGGAGACGTTCCATGCTCGGAAGGAGATTCATTATATCCTGAATTGGGATGACAGAGATGAGCTCATCGGTCACTACTAGAGAATGCCCGCAGGATGGGGTGTTGTCTCCAGTGCTGTGGTGCCTGATACTAGACGGGCTCCTTCGCACCCCGAGCGTATACACAAGGATACGCGGACGATCTCGCGATTGTCATAACTGGGAAGTTTCCAAACACCGTGGAAGAGCTCATGCGGGAGTCTCTTGAACAGGTGGAAAGGTCTTGAACAGGTTGAAAAAGTTTGTAATAAAAAATATTCCTTCAAAACCCCTCTGTAAAAATGATCTGAAGTTATTTTTTTTGTAAAATGACCATAAAAAAGTTATAACATCCAATTGAATTTTTTTTACAAAATGTTCATCAATTTTCATTTATAACTTTGTTACTTTTGGTTATAGGACTAAAAGTTACTGGAGCAAAGTTGTAGATAATTTTATTCTTATTCAAAAATGTCTTAACAAATTTTTTGTGAGACCAATAGTTTGTCAGATAAACCATAAAAACCATTTGCACCACTTTTTTCAAGATGGCGGCCGCGGGACAAGGGCTGCAACCCTACAAACTTGGATTTAACTTTAGACTAACCCCCCGTTGATATCTAAAAAATAAAATTGCGTCCTCTGACAAACGCAACCCCAAATGTAACTTTTCAATGGACTAAATAGGGTACGCTTGATCTGGATGCCAGCGCACTGCGGAATAGGGGGCAACGAAAGGGCGGACGAGATGGCTCGTGAAGGAAATGGTGGGGTCTTCGTTGGGCTCGAGCCTACCCTAGAGATTGCTCCCTCCGTTGTCAGGGCCAGGATTAAACACTGGGTGACCAATCAATTCCAGGCTCAGTGGCAACTAGTAACCGAACACACACAGTCCAAGGATTTTTTAACAGAGCCCCTTGGGGTCTTCTAAGCTTCTAAAACTGAATAGAAGCGAGATTAGGAAGATCACCGGTGTCCTTACGGGGCCCTGGATGGTCAACTATCACCTGCATAACATTGGGATCGCGGAGGAGCCCACGTGTAGGTTCTGTGGAGAGGCAAATGAAACTGCCGAACTTGTGGTCTGCCACTGTGATGCTTTGATCAAGGACAGACATCATCTCCTTGGAGACAGCTATCTGAAACCGGGGAGGGTGAAGCAACTTAGGCTAAACAGGGTCTTATCCTTCATTGAGAGGAACGGGCTCTGAACTCAGTGGCGAAAGAAAGGGGGTAGGCACAATGGGCCTCTGGTGTGCCCAAGTGCTGCCCGGTCGGGCTCCCTTCCGAATAAGAATAGAAGAATATTTACCAAGAAGCGTAAAAGTCGTACGATGGGATGATGAGTGATCTACCTTTTATTTGGCCCACTTCCTCCTCACACCTTTTCCTGAAACTGTGGAGGAGTAGGAATTGAAGACCTTTGTCTTCGGGCAAGTTGCCTTCTACAACGCACAGATTTTGGGTCCTGTATCTACCCCGTGCTCGCTCGGTCAAGAGATATCCATACACACAGCTTCTCATTAATACCAATGCTTTAGCTAGATGTTCATTGGATGAATCTAATATAAATCAAATCATAACTACACATTTTGAATGATAGGATTGAAAACCTGCAACGTTTATTATATACAAGGAAAAACCCTACAGTTTGAAGATTTCATTCATAACGCAGTTATTCAAATTCGTCGTCTCCGCCACGGCATCCTCGCCCTTGCGCGTTTTACATTTCTCAAAGACACTGTCGGCTACCGTCTCCACGTCGTGCACTTCATGTTTAACTAGAGACTTGATAGTTTTCACTGTAGCTTCGACCATCACCTCGCGATTAAACTCCCCATCTGGCGTATAATAGTTGCCCTTTTTGATTCCGCATTTGGTCAGTTTGACTCCGTCTTCGCTCAGATTTTTGATTTGAAATTTATCATCAAACACTGTGGATAATATCTTCTTATCGAGATTTAGCTCCTTTAGGCATTCGTGGATTTTCTCGTCAATTAATTCATCGGGTAACTCTTTGGAGAACACCTAACAGGTTTGCATAAGTACTCAACAGGTTAAAGAAAATGTGGGAGACTCACCTGAACTGCGCAGCAAAAAAACACGAAGCACAAGAGGTTTTTCTTCATTTTGCGTGTTAGCTACTAACAAAAAATGAGATTATTGTGTGGTATTTATAGTTTTATTTTGGAAATGTTGCGTAGCCAGCTACTGGGAATTTTGTTGTTATCTCAAAAACAATTATCTTCTAGGCTGAAAGTTCAAAGATTATCCCTCACAGATGTTTTCCATTAACTTTCTTTAACTCCTTAATGATAACTCATTGTGACGTATACACATAACACGAAATTCACAAGAACATTTTTGGAACCCATGAGACGAGAAACGAGCCACTTCCTTTGACACATAGGAATGTTTTACTTCGTTGCGTTTTGCAAATTCGAGGGATTTTTAATTGCCATAGTTTCTCAGAGCTTCTTGGGTTCTTTGAATTGTCGATCATTCTCATGTCACACGATGTTCCTACTATTCTTCGTATTTTTTTGATTTTAAGATTCTTAAAGTTCCTCAAATTCTTACAATTGAAAGTGCCCTTTTCTTCGGAACTTTTTGTTTGTTTATGGTTGGAGATCGTAGGATAACATGTTAATTGGAACACTGGAAGTGTATCTCCAGATGTCATTTCCAAAATTCACAAGTTCCTAAATATTCCTGGATTTAGTGAGATTCTTAGAGTTCTTCTGATCAATAGACCACCACGTTGGCATTATGCTTACGACTTTCTTCTTATTTTTAGAGTAGGTACTTTTAGATACGTTAGAAGATCTAGATCATTTGTGCAGATAGGGTTCTTTGCATGCTTTATATTCGCTGAATTCGTGAGATTTTGTAGATTTTTGGAATTTCCGAGATTCACTACATTCAATGAGAGAGTTCGGACTTGGAGTCGCGATTCTTGATGTGATTGGAAAAACTTAAATTTTTTAAAGAATACCATTCATAGAGTTAGACTGTTGTAACCATGCACTTTCGTGGTACCCAAAATTTTTAGGGTTGTGTAGATCCTTATGGTTCTTAGCGTAGGTAAGTTCATTGCACCCGTGGGCTCTCAGGATTTAGATTTTTATCTTCCTAAGATTTCTATAATAATTTGTATTCCTTGGAAGCTTGTGAATTGGTAGATTGAATTCTTTGTTGGTTTGGGTTCTTTGAATTCTTAGAATTCTTTAGATTCTTTAAATTTCTGAAATTCATTGTATCCCTGATTCACGAAATTCTGTAATTGTTTTTGCACTTATCTCCTTGGATTCTTTAAAAAACTAGCACCTTATGAATCCACTGTATGGGAATAGATTCTTTACACTTTAGATTTTTAGGGGCCGTTCAATTTTTAGAATCCTTAAAATGTTATGAAAAAGTTTTAGGATTTCGTTCTGTTGACATTCTTGGCATTCTTGTGATATCACAAGAGTTTTTAATTTCTTTGGTTTCTATAAATTCTCGGGATTTTGTTAATCACTAGTCTCTCAAAGCTTTAAATTCTTTGGTTTTTTGGTTAGGTTCGGTGACATCCATGTATTGCTGGATTTTGTATTCCAAGAATTCTTTGGATCCTTTGCATTCGTTGTATTCAACGGAAACAAACCATTTCCAGGATTCCCGTTAATCTGAGGATGCTGTTTAGGTGTTTGGAAATTTTGTTCGATAACCTTCTCATAAAAACAGTATTAGTATATTTTTACTGCTGATAAGCGATAAACCATACCATGAAATTCTAGTAATGGAACTAAGAGTTATCAGTAAACAATAAGTGGTTAAAATGAAGGCTCTTTGTGGTTTTTTCTGTTACTCAGGTACGAATCGGCTCTTAACTTTTGATAGTTAATGATGTTTGTTTCAGGTATTTTCCACCGAGGTACCAGAGTTTGTGGAGGATAAGGATTTTATCGATTGCTTCCATGAACTCAAACTGAAAAAGTCGGTGTGGAAGATGTACGATGAACATTACAATCATAAAACATCCTGATGCGGACGCTCTCAAGCTGCTTAACTGCGCAGTAAAGAAGAAAATCAAGGAGAAGATTGAACAACAAAGAAAAGCTAACAACCATGGAGTCGAAGGGGTTAATGACCCTTGCAAGCTCATTTACGGTGACCGCTTTTGTTGAAAAAGATAAACTACTATTTCGTAACGGAAGAAATCACGAAACTGTAGAATAGCATTGTCGACCGTATTAAGAATTCATTTATATAAAAAGAAAGAGTGTTTCTTATAGTATTTTTTATTATATCTGCAATCTAATTAAAAAATAAGGGAAATACAAAGAAATCATATTGACGTTATACTCTAGATTTTAATCTTCTATCCTTTGGTGCATTCATTCATAACTTCAAACAATGATGCAATTAAAAAGTGGAACAAATGTGGCAGTATACCCTAAATACCGCGCGTTTGTGAAAGCTTCAAACAAAAGATAGGTATGTACAAGCCAAAGAAATTATCTGCATTTACAAAAAGCTCATATATTAATGATGGGCGATATTGGAGCAAGTCATGCCCATTTTGATGTTCTTTAGGTACATGCAATTTATCACTTTACTTTTAATTGTTTTGTTTAAAATTAGCTGTTGGAATGTTTGATGGGTTTTATACTAAAATGATTTATTGTGTTTTTTTCCACTGGTATGATGCCATTTGTATCTCACTTTGATTATTTTTTTAACCAGTCGATTACCTGATTTTCGTTGTACGATTTGAGATACGTTTTATTGGTGTATTTCTGTTGTGGGTCTTGTTGCCATAATTGCATTTGTCTGATATTCCAGGTTTTTTCCATGCTGGTTCTTTTTTCCACTGACTTTTCGGTTTGGATTTGCTCCGTAGAACCAAGCCTCGTGCGTAAGAGATCCGGACGCACAAGAATACTGTTTTATTCAATGCCCTTCCCGATTATGTCTCACGCTCAACACATAAAAGGTGGCCATAGTAAAACAACGTAGAAGTGTTATTCAGTACCACCCTGTCCTAACCGAATTCTACGAATATTCCATGTATTGGTATAAGAATATTTTAACATTTGTAGGTTTTAAAAAGTTCTTAAGATCCTAGAAGTTCGATAGATTTTGTGAACGTTTAACAAATGCTATGACAATTTTTAAAAGACTCTTGTGGTTTTGCAGAAATTCGAAGAAATTTTCAAAGAAGATTCGCATAATATTGCGCCAACACGCTAAGCAACTTCTAGGAAAACTCTGAGATTCTGGTAACGGGACCCCGTTTATTTAATTCTAGCTTGCGAGATCCCGTGTTTGGGTTGTATTAGGACTGCATAGATTTTGCATAATTTATTTAGTTATTTATTTATTTATTTATTTATTTATTTATTTATTTATTTATTTATTTATTTATTTATTTATTTATTTATTTATTTATTTATTTATTTATTTATTTTTATTTATTTATTTATTTATTTATTTATTTATTTATTTATTTATTTATTTATTTATTTATTTATTTATTTATTTATTTATTGCCCCTCTTTCAACAGGATTTCGCCCAATTACAGAGTGACCCGCATAATGCTTTTAGAGGTGCCTCTGCAGAAGGTCTTAAGTTGGTCTATACTACTCCGGTATTTACCTTACGAATCGGAACAACTTCAAGAGACCTAATTCGGAGTAGCCGGCAGAATGCTCGAAAGTGATCTAAGGAACTCCCATTTCTGTCACAGTTAAAATTTACCTCAACCCAGGTTCGAAATCCCGACCACCCAGCTATGTAGCTCAACGTTCTACCACTGAGTCACACAGACGGATCTGTACCAGTTCAAGTGAATAGTAATATCGAGTGGGATTAATGGCAACAACGGGACGAATTTGGATAGCGTAGGTTAGGTAGCAACAATACTAATTGACGCGAGTCGTAAGTTTGCGTTGGTTCTGTTTTAGTTTTACGCGTCAGGACGACTTACAGATAAGAATACTAAATTGCGGTTTGCGGAGAACTTTGCGGAGGATATCGAATGCTTGCGGGCGCTGGCGGAAATTCGGTTCTAAGCAGCTTTGATATGAACAGGAAAAAATTAGCAGAAGAGCTTAGGACTTTCTGCAGGGGCACCTCTAAAAAAGCATTGTGCGGGCCACTTTGTAATTGGGCGCAAGCGTTTTTTGGGCCCAGAATAAGAGAGGGAAAATAAATAAATAAATGAATGCCAAGGTCCAATACTGCTACAATACTCAGGTTGAGATCCACTGCCTCTACAACACGAGCGGAGTTAGATGCAAGAATAATCTCTAGATACGGTGTCAGATAATGTAAGACTCAGTCATTAATCAAGCGCATCTGTTTATAGTAAGAAGATCGTACACAGGGTGTCCCACAGGGATCATGGTTAAACCCACTACTCTGGAACGTCGGTGACGTACGATAATGTGTTTGCGAGTCGATGTACCAGTAAGGGGGCACATGACATAAGTGTGGTGAAAATGGACCTCCAAGGTTAGTTAAGGTTTCCATAGGAGGGTTCGCTACGAGAGCAGATCACAGGTCGAAACGTTTGACGAATGGTGGGAGAGGCGGTCCTAGACCAGAAGGCTGGTGAAGGATCTCATTAGCTGGGTGTATAGTAGGCACCGTGGGTGATGTACCACGTCATTCAGTTGCATACCAGCCACGGACAGAACGGAGTCTTAAGAGAATCGGGAAGTACGGTAACGGAAAAAGCGCCGTCTCCTGGAGACTGCGTCAATTTGTTTGGTCCACCAACCGAGTTTGGTTGAGTGGTGTCCCTTCACCTTACTACAGCTACTGTCTTAGGTGTTCATTTAGATACCTAATCCAAAGCGAGCCACCTACATAAAATGAACAACTGTACCATGCACTCGAATGCACTTTATTGATGTGCTCACTGATTAAAATTTCATAACGCTTATCAAATACCAAGAAAGATTCAATGTAAAAATTCTTAGAGTTTGTGCACCTCCTTTACGACGCAGTTACTCAAATTCGTAGTCTCCTCCACAACATCCCCACCCTTACGCGTTTTACATCTTTCGAAAATATCGACGGCTACCGCCAGTTCGTCGACCACTTCGTGGTCAACCAAAAGCTTGATTGTTTTGACGATACCGTTGACCATTACCTCAGAAACTCCCAATCGGCTGTGTAGTATTTGCCTTTTTTGATTACGCACTTGGTCAGCTTAACCCCGTCTTCGCTCAAATGTGTGATGT